TTTTTTTTTTTTTTTTAATCTGTTCGGATTTAGTCTAGCCAACTAAGTAAATTCTTCCTAAGGGCAGACACCAAGTCTTCTGCTGCCCAGAGAGCCTAACATAGTGCCTTGCACATGGTAGACTCTCAGCAGACGAGGGGGGAAAATAAACCTGTGCAGAGAGGTGGAGGGGTTATTTCAATACCCACTTTGTCTTCTAGGTGAAGGCTTCCACAATTACCACCACACCTTTCCCTTTGACTACTCTGCGAGTGAATTTGGCTTAAATTTCAACCCAACCACTTGGTTCATTGACCTCATGTGCTGGCTGGGACTGGCCACTGACCGCAAACGAGCAACCAAGCCAATGATCAAGGCCCGGAAAGCCAGGACTGGAGACGGCAGCACTTGAACCTGGAACTGGCATCCAACATGTTTGCCATTGATACCTTAGTTCATGGCTTTTGTTCCTATAGTTCTCTTGTTCATTGGATGTGGGAGGGGGTAGAAGCTGGGGAGGGAAAGGAATCTATGTGGTTTGGGAACTTTTCCTTTGTCTCAAAATAATGTCAAGATATAACTATCAATGAAAAAAAGTTTTTAGCATCAATGTAACTATGATTTTAACATTAGAGTGTGAACATGTGGTTTAATCGTTGTAGCTACAATATGTCAAACACACATGGTCATGTGCTTGAACGTGATGTTAACCCTGACAGGATGAAGGAATTTAATATTCTTTCAGTGTGATTCAGGAGAGCATTTGCTTTCTTTTCTACCAGTTAACCCAGCACTGTTTTTAAACACAATATCTGAAGGTAGAAGACAAAAGAGAGGGTCTAAGTAACTAAAGAATGTTTCTGTTTTGTAATTACTGTGCCTGTGTGTTTGTTGTTTTTTAAATAAGAGAATTGAGGGGCGCCTGGGTGGCTCAGTCGGTTAAGCGTCCGACTTCGGCTCAGGTCATGATCTCACGGTCCGTGAGTTCGAGCCCCGCGTCGGGCTCTGGGCTGATGGCTCACAGCCTGGAGCCTGCTTCCAATTCTGTGTCTCCCTCTCTCTCTGACCCTCCCCCGTTCATGCTCTGTCTCTCTCTGTCTCAAAAATAAATAAAATAAACGTTAAAAAAAAATTTAAATAAGAGAATTGAAAACTTTCAAAAATGACAGGAAATGGCCCTCTTATTTTCTTGCCCTGTTTACAGCTTGTTAATGTTCCACTGTCTTTGCTTCCAAAGAGATCTGTTCACTGCCCGGCTAGTTTTGTGTCCCGATTATGGCCAGCCGACCCTATAAATCAGTGCCTGTTTAGGTGTTTGATTTTGTTCTCTTTGCTATTGTCATTTTAAAGGTGTATAACGCAGATGTGCCAGACATAAAATTAAGCTCAAATTAAGCTCTCATTTAAATGTTTAAACATCTAATTTATATTCTAATTGATCCCAGCCACTGATGCATGTACTTTAGCTACTACTGCTAAATAAGCATATTAATTTTCCACACTAGGCCATCAGATCTTAATAACCGACAGTTATCTAGAACTCAGTGTGTACTAATGTTTCCCCTGCATGCAGCCTTCATTGATTTTGCAGCAAAATATAAAGTGATCATTATGTAGCTTCTGAAGTAAAAAAAATGTTGTGTGTTAAGTTGCCTTGTAAAGAGCATGTTGAATTAATGGGACCGCGTGCCCTTTGTTTTAGTTGTTAGAGCAAAAGAAAGATGTTGGAGCACTTCGAAGATAGATCTTTTCGGGAAAGGTGGGAATTTGGAATTTTAATTTAAAATGTTTGAAAAAGAAGTGATGCCAACCGGAAATTGTCACAATGAAGTTCTTCATCCAGCAGGTGTTTATTTGCCATTAATAATGTGTACACTATGAGTGATTTACAATAAATGATTATTAATTCATTGGTGTTCTTGACCAGGTACTTAAATGTTGTTCAGAGGATGTTCTCTCAGGGGTACCTGAAGCTCCATGATAACCACGTGATTCCCATTTGATTCGAGCACTGGACTAACAACACCCCTAAGACCAGGCCTCCTGTATCCCATCAGCCTTATGCCGGAGGGAAAATCGACTATTTTTTTTTTGGAATGCTTAACCCTCAGTGGTGTCGTTTCCCACTTCTCACTCACCAACACTGTCATTTGTATTGCTTCCAGCTGACAAATGGGAACCTTTATTCCTACCTGTCACCCAAAAGAACATGAAGGACATCTTCCTTCCCTGACCCCACCAGGCCCCAGTAGTGATGAACAGGGGCATGGGCGATGGGCTCATCTCTCCCTCCAGTCCTGCCCCCCAACTTTTCCCTCGTGCTGCCCTTTGGCCTTGAAGCACCTGTGCCCCTGCCATCAGATACAGACTTCTGAGCCTGCCTGCAGTTGAGTGGGATTCCAGCCATTGGACCCTTTGAATATGACTGTGTGTTTTCTATCTGCTTCATATTGCAGTCACACATTGCTGAGACCTTGTATGGAGTATTGATAGAGTGTGATTGTATCCCAAGACCTAAAATGACCTCAATTAGAAGTATTTCTGTGAATCTTTGACCCCTTAAATGTACTAAACTTATTGCTTGTCATTAATAGAAAAGGCTACATTTGGAAAAACTGTTTGAAATCTTCTCACAAAAGGAGGACATTCCCCAGGTGGTCAAAAGAAATCCAGAACCTCACTCCTCTGAACCTGAGTGCCACATATATATCTGCAATAGTGCCAATGAATGAGGATTGGGATGATTTTGTTGACGGAGTGGCTAGATGAAGGTTAGATCACTCTAGAGTCTTCCATATTAACATTCCCTGCAGATCTTAGTAGCATCTAAGGGGGTGGTGTTTCCCTAGACTATCCAAGGTGGCCTTAGAGAGGTTGGTCCTGCCCTTGATCTCCCGTGTCCTCCAAGGCCTATTTCAGAAGCATCCACCCATGCATCCCGGTGAGGGGAGACAAGGGGAAGAGATCCGTGTATGTCATGGCAGCTACATGGAGCTAGCCTGATAAATGGCAGAGTCAACTCAAGTGTTGACTAGCCGGCTGTGTGGCCTTGAGAAAACCAGTCTTTCTGGATCCGGTTTTCTCCTCTACAAAGAGAGAGGATGAAACCAGACTCTGGCTAAGGTTCCACCAAGCCCTAATGGTCACCAACAGCAACAGAGATAGGAACGTGCCTGATTTGGGATTTGAAACACCTCTCAAGTTGTGCCCCTCCTTTTTGGAATCTGGGAGGTCAAAAGTGAGGGGGAAATAATTGAGTCTGAGTGAGAGAACACAGACTGAGGCTGAAAAGAATGTTCTTGGTAAACAAAACAAAACAAAACAAAACAAAACAACATGCATGTGTTTCATTTATTTTCAAAATATAATGAAACAACAAAAGTGAACTTAATCCATGAAAAACAATTTAATGAAAGAAAGTACTGTAAAAAGCTTTGGCTTGGTGGTGTAGTAGAAATAGCACTGGACTGGAGTTCAAGATTTCAGTTTGAATTCTCCTCCCTTTTTTTAATTGAGGTATAACTGACATACAACACAATATTCATTTCAAGTGTACAACATAATGATTTGATATTTGTATATATTGCAAAAAAAAGGAGGGGGGCACCTGGCTGGCTAAGTCTGTGTATACTCCAAAAGGATCACCACAATAATAAGTCTTGTTAACATCTTTCACCATTTGTAGTTAGAAATTTTTTTCTTATGAGAACTTTTAAGATCTACTTTCTTAGCAACTTTTCAAATAAGATATACAATATTCTTAGTTATAGTCACCATACTGTACATCCCCATGATATTTATTTTATAACTAGAAGTATATATCATTTGACCACCTTCACCATTTTGTCAACCCCCATGCCCCACCAATCTGTTCTCTGTTATCTATGAGTTCATTGGGTTTTTTTCCTTAGATTGTACATGTAAGAGAGATCATATGGTGTTTGTGTTTCTCTGTCTCACATTTCAATTAGCATAATGCTCTCAAGTTCCATCCATATTGTCACAAATGGCAAGATTTCAAATTGTAACTCATGACCTAACTTGGTGTGTTACCTAGAGTCACATGATCTACTGACTGAGCCAGCCAGGTGCCCTGAGCATGTGACTCTTGATCTCCAAGTCATGTATTCAAGCCTCACCTTCTGGGTAGAGCTTATTTTAAATAAATAAATAAATAAATAAATAAAGCACTTGAAAACAGCAGATGCAAAAAGGGCCCTCTGATCTCCCTTTTTCTCCCTAAAAGCAAGAGATGAAACTCTGATGTGAGAGCTGCCTTCTCTATATCAGGAGGAAAGAAACATTCTTCTCACCAGAGATAGGGAGAAGGCACCAAGAGAATCAGTGCAAACAAACCTTGTTCAAGTAACTCTTAGCTTCCTTTAGCATCCCCATGTATTTTTGGCACTCTCTCACAATACTCTTTGTCCAATGTGGCACATAAGCACTTGGGCCCAACCACTTTTTGGGTCTTCATTTTCCCATGAAGGCTCCCATGAGCATGTAATAATAAAATCTGTATGCTCTTCTCTCATTAATCTTAATGTCAACTTAATTCTCGGACCCAGCCTGACCCTAAGAGGCTAGAAGGAAATTTCCACCTCCTCTACAATGGAGCCTCAGCTAGCCCTTCTGTAAAGGAACTGGACTGGATTAGATTGTCCCGCCCAGTTCGCCAGCTGGGAGTCGTTCCCCTCCGTGTGAAGAAACCCAGCACACCCACAGGCCTTTTGTCCAGTCCCCTGAGAGTCCTTCTGAACCTTGGCTTCCTTCCTGTGCCTTCACACCCTCATCAGAGGACAAGCCTTACTTGCTTTTCTTCTTATCAGGAGCTGGGATAGAAGACCCAGAGAGGGAAGAGGCTGAAGCTAATGGATAAGAATGAGCTTTGCGGATTATCTGTGACGTTCATTTATCCATGTCACTCCAGTCCTCAATTATAGAAGACACTGGAAGCCAGCTGACTTCTCAGTGGCTGCTCATGTGAAACAAGGAAGCAAAGAAGTATCCTAACCTTTATAAGCCCCCCCTTTTTTTAATTTCCCCATTTTTAGTTCAAGGTATTTGTCAAAATCCTTTCCTTCCCTTTCCTCGACATCAAGGAACTGCTATAAATGACCTGGAAACTTTGCTCCTGCTCTCTCTCTCCTTGGGCTAGGGAGTTCATAACCATCCCGCCCCCACCCCCAGGAATGTTCCTGACTTGTAAATTTGCAAATCAGAGGCAAGAGGAAGGAAAGCGCTGGCCTGCGGCTGCTGGGGGATGGGGGGGGGCGGGGAGGGGGAATGCAGGCAAGGCTGCCAGCCTGTGTTCCAGCAGCTACTGTGGCTGAGTGACAGTCTTTTCACTTGCTTTTGCTCTCCCGTGACGCCTCTGCCTGGGCAGCTGGGAGACCAGTCAGCACAGGCAGA